TATGCAAACTTTTTAAATCTTTCTATTGTGTTACGTAGCCTCAGTATTAGGCCTTTGATGACCATTGACAAAATTTTTCTATGTCAAATCGTTTATGAGTTTTGGAGGTTTTTGTTAAAAAAACGAAAAGTAGTCAAAGTTACCCCGCCGGTCAAAGTAACCCTATTTACTTTGACCACTTTACGGTATATAACAAATAGTTAAAGACTACTTATAGCCTTATAAGAATTAGCTAAGCTGCCAGCTACGTACAATTTATTGCACACTTGATGCCTCTGTACCAAAAACATTCAATTTATTAGAACCTAATACACACTAAAGGCAACAAGTTTATAAATCAATTTGTCATTCATAGTACATTTATACTAAACCATGAATAACAATACCTCTATATGAATTAAAGACTGCCACTCAATATATTTAAATATATGAAAAAATAAAAAAAAAATCATGATTTTTTTCATAAAAAAATCAAGTGATTTAATCACATGATTTAATCATTTTGATTTAATCATTGCCAACCCTGGTTATTACTCGTTAAGTTGTTATCAGTTACCACTTACAGGTATTTTTTCATGTTTCAGTTCGCTTACAGTTATTTTTATGTTTCACCTTCCCTACATGGATGTCTACTTCAATCTACCAATCTCAAAAATAATCCACATATATACAAATAAAAGAGTTTTTATGTGTATATATGGATAATTTTTGAGATTGGTAGATTAAAGTAGACATCCATGTAGGGAAGGTAAAACATAAAAATAACTAACTTTTATTTACTGTATCTAACCCGTACTAGTTTGGTTAGGTTAATTGCAATTAAGTTGCATTGATATGTTTTGAAAATGTTTTATTATCATGAAATGTTTATGAGTAAATCCCAATAGCAAAACAATAAATATTTAGAGATTTCCACTAATTTTGGCCATTGTAGCGGCGCTACATTTTACTGTTGCAGTAGGGGTAGCGCCCACTACATTTAGAGCATGTAGCGGTAGCAGTACCGGTAGTGCTGCTACATTTCAAAGTAGCGCTGCCCAGCTCTGCCCATGTCCCCTCTCAAGGACTCCCATGTCCCCTATTATGATCTGTTGATCTGTAAATACGGTGTGAGTTTCAGAATTTTCTGCTAACTCGAGACAAGTTTTTTTGTCTGCAATAATTGAGGTATATGAGGTCATTCAATACCTGAAACAAGACAAGAAAAGACAGGGTGACATTAGACATAAATGCATTTACTATTATTAGTATTAACACAACATGCAACAAATAATAAACATGTTTGCAATGCATGAAAACAATAAATGTATGAAATAGATAAATAGACAATTATAAGCTAAACACATGAGCTTGGTCTGCCCTAAGATTGCACCCAGTAACAATGAAATGAGTGACATCTACAAATACAATTGTTAGGGTTTCAATTAAAGACATTTTTTATATTTTTGGTTTAGAGACAAGAGTTCAAGTCAGCTCTGTCTCTAGGAACGCTGCATCAGTTATTGTTTGTTGCAGAGTCGTAACTCATAACGAAGGTACGTGCCTATGAGGGTTAGCTTAGTTCGCTATACCGTATAATGGGGTAACTTAGACCATTTTTTTTTATAAATGCCATTTTTTTACTAGATAAGTTAAACTTGAATTGAAACATGCAAAATACAGGTCTATACTCTAGCTTCACTCACCATAAATGAATGGCTCCTGCCTCTCATAGTCTTTATGTAATTTCAAAAAAAGTGATGGTCTTTGTAACCCCAGCACTTGGGGTAACTTAGACCGGGTGGTAAAATCAATTATTTTTTTTGGTAAAATAACTCCAGGTTTTGGTGCATTGTAGTAGAACTCTTCTAGTTACATATGCAAATGACAAACTTGAGGAAAGTGTCATAGTTTGCAAATGGGGGGCACTGCCCCATAATGTGGGAAATGTGACTACCTAATGGCAGCCCTGATGGGATAATATTGACTGGCTTGGAAATTAAGTTAAAATTACCATATATAAGACTCTGTAGAGTCTGAAACATAAAGAAAAACATAAATAGGCTGTCAAACATAAAATATGTTATATATGGTATTTTATATTAACTTCCAAGCCGGTCTATGTTACCCTGTCAGGGCTGACATTAGGTGGTCTAAGTTACCCCATTTGGGGGCGGTGCCTCCCATTTGCAAACTAGGACACCTTCCTAAAATTTGTCATTTGCATATGTAACTAGAAGAGTTCTACTACAATGCATCAAAACCTGGAGTTATTTACCCAAAAAAATAAAAAAATTGGAGGGGGTACTCTGACAGGCTTTAAATAATAGCTTTTTTTTGTGATAATAAATAGATAAATAGATGAGATTAATAATAATAATAGATAGATAATAAAGATGATTTAAATATTGTTTTAATACGAATTCATTGTAAATATCTTATCATTGTTACTTGTTAGTTATCTGTCAATTATTTTAGCATCCGATTGATTAGTTTCTGTATTTTTATTGTAGGAATTTGCCATGAAAGTTTAGGGCTCGAATTTGGAAAATTAAATAAGGACTACATCATACAGTGTACATGTATGCATGTGCACAAAAATTCTAATGAGAATTATATACATGAAAACTGAAAAGAGAAAAAAAAAATCATGTAAATATAAGTAGAGTAGGCTAGGCCTAGCTAGAAAAAAATTGAATTGAAAAAGCTATGAATTTTTCCTTTATGAAATTACATCTCCTCTCGATAATGAACCAATTTTTAGCACTTTTTGGGAAAAACTATCATGTCTAGGTTTCCTACGAGTCTATGAGCCAATTTCAAATATTTTAGCACCATTAGAAAACTTTTGTTGTAGGGTATCTATACCGATATGATAGATATCTAAATGGTAGGCAAATGATGGGCAGAACAAATGATTTTAATGATAGGTAAGCAATAGGTAAACATGTGTAGAATGAATAGTAGGCAAATGTTAAGTAAATGATGCGGCATCACCGAATGCCACTGCTCCTGATTTGTGGCTTCCATTCTAGCCTAAGGCTAGGCTCTGTAGGCTGACTAGCACTTGTTGAGTTTCACTAGTAAGTAGACCAGGAGGTAGGTAGGTGCAAGTAAATAATTTCATATTCACGTAACAATGTATTTGTAACTGCAAAATTGTCCTGGTCAGTCAATAATATGAAATAGCTAAATTCCAAAAATTTGAAGTATGAACCAAAGGGGAAGGCACTATTACATCACACATGATCACTGAAACACTACCAGTACCATCTACCACAATGACTGAATCTGAATGTATACAACGGTATGGCCATTCATTGCAATCAGCATGCGCTATGGGTGTTGGACTCATAAATTGTCTTTTTTGTGACTTTTAGAAATCACTTTTGACTAGTTGCAATGTTGCATACCTACTTGCAGCCTAGCTATAAAATTTAGTGAGCATGCTCTAAGAACTATAATCTTGACATCATATTTCTTTCATTAACAACACAATGATATCAAGGTTTATTTTTAGCACAAAGTGGCACCCTTTGCTAATCCCAGCCAAGCATGTAGACAATAGAAATTTCATAAAAACAAGATGGTGTTATCATAATTAAAGTTTTTTTTGTTGATTCCCAAACACACGCCAATCAAATTAAGCTACCAGTTGGGCAGGACTATTGAAATTAAATGCCTCCTGTGCGCTGAAGCAAAAACTGCCCTCCCCCATTTCAGTATCTCCAGATCCTTGTGTGGTTTTGCGCATACCTAAACAGTGGACTTTGAATTCCCTTGAAACACTCACAAACAAGGATTGGGTTTGAATTATGATCATGAGCTGCATTGATTATGTTTATGCTTGGGCTTAGTTGGCTTTTAGAATTTAGAGTGAGCCCACAGCACAATCATTCAAGAAGTCAATCTAAATATAAAGGAATGAATTTTGATCGAAGCAAAACAATTTACAAGGGACAGATCAATCACTTCCACACAGCAAGCAGAATGAAAGAAGTAAACTTACTGAAACTAATGTAACTGTAAGATGATACGATGAATCAACTTCATAACAATATCACTCAAGAGTTAAAAATAAAGTAAGAATGCAAAGTAACCATTAGAAAGAATTTACATAATTAGCCAGTTAACATCTTGAACAGAGATGAGAAATTACAGTAATGACAACAAATAATTATTTAATTTACCAATGATGTAGTAACTAACTATGCTCATTGCTCACTAATATTAGATCAACAGTCAATCCCACCACAGCCCACTCAGTGGATTGGAATTTTCCTGTAATCCTATTTGCTATTGAAGTCAGCCTAATTTTCTGCTAAAATCTGTCTTATTCAGATGGATCCAAAGTTTAAAAATGTCATTACATTCATTATCTTGCTGCCTAATTGTACACTACTATAATGAATAACACTGTTGACAATTAAGTAGAATTTAATTCATCTGGCAAGAATCTTGCAGTTTCCTACGGGGAGGATATATATTCAAAGCTCTATTTGCAGCTTGCAAGGTAGATTTATTCCATGCATGCCAGGCTGCCACTCAGTGCTCTCAGACTCAGACAATGATGCGGTGAAGGTGAGACTGAATCACTGGGTCTCTCATTCTCATGGCTCACCAGTGCTGGCACTGGCAGTGCAACCTTAGCTGAAAAATTAGGCAGAAACCACCCATGAATATGACAAAAATTCCTGAGAATCTTGATGGTATAATATTGACATGTTAATTGATATTTTCAATATTAATATTTAAGTTATTAAGTTAAATAAATAAGTTAATATTTAATATTATTATTAATAATGAATAATTTTATTAATAGTAATATTAACATATTAAACCTTACAAACATATTCAGGAGAGACGAGCAGAGACCCAACCCCAGTCCTAGTCCAGTGAGTGGCAGCGGAGGGTGCAGCCTCTGACACAACTCAAGTCTCAACTACTTTAACTTTGTCTTGCTCTTCATTCAAGATTGCTGATATTGGAGTCAGGAGCATCCATGATCATGATGTCTACAGGAACTTTGACACCAATTATTGCAAGAACATTCCTCTACTATTTCTTTCTAGAGAAGAAATTTGTTCTCACAGAAGATTGGAAGCCTCATGGCATTAAAATTGGAGACCAGGGAGATTCCATCTCAATCTCAGAAGTACTTGATATCTCAACAGAGATCACTGTGAAGGATGGCCCAGAGTGCACCAGAACTGAAGAGGACGATTTTTGGATTGCAATAAGTTGTGCTGCTGTTTACCGGGTGGCTCACTCCAATGTTAAGGGCGACTATCGCCAAAAAGTCTGGAAAACTTGTATGGCCTCGATTGCAGCCAACTTTCCTGGAAGTGATCGACCAACAATCACTCAACCTCAAAATTTGACCCCCTTCTCAAGTGACGTTCAGACCCCTTACCTTCTTTCTGCCATCGACATGATTATGTGCAGGTTTCCAAGACATCCCATGTCTCGTATTCGGGTTGGAACCCAGATGTGGCGGTGGAAGAATTGTGATATTCTCTTCACTATACAGTACATTAGCCGTCAGTTAGGACTAAATAACAATGAAAACCTGGTCGCTTGGTGTAAACACACAGGAGCGTGTAATGAATTCCGCCGTCTCGCTGAATCTGAAGAAGACACTGATCCTGAGGGATATGTACCCTATACTAGGGGGATGCAATTGTCACCCATGTCTGTGCTGTCATCCACTGCAAACCCAGACATCCACTTGTGGGCCCACACAATGGGAGTCCTGTTACATAGAGATAGGAGCATTAATGCTCGTGACTTGGCGGGTTCGGATCATGCTACCATCTTTGAATGTGCCTTGTTTACCGTTTATGCGCTCATAAATAGCATGCATGCAGATTTTCAGATCTGCTTTGTTAGCGCCGAATCAGAGTACAGCGTGAAAGATTTGAACAAGAAGATGCGTGAAAACCTGGCTAAACTTTCCCAAGTTGATGACAGCGCTCCTCCCGAGTTTCGTCAACCACGAGAGAAAGACCGTTGTTCATGGTGGGCGTGGTACAATGATCAAGGAGGTGCTGCAGTTGCAAAAAAGTGGGCCAAGGCAGAATTACGGAAAATCACCAATGTCCGACGAGGAACTGTGGGAGAGTGGTTAAGCACTTACAAATTGTGAATCTCCTGATTGCTATAACAGATACTAGAAGAAAAATTTTCACTGTTCCCGTTTCTAGTAGTCAGCCTTAGTCGAATATGTACGAAGTTAGCGTTCCATTAGCCAATAATTTGAATGTTCAAGCTACTACTCGCGTAACTATGGGACGCTTACTGCTATTGCGTCAGGATCATGTTTAATCTAACGTGGGGATCAGAGCCACGTCGCTCGTCGTGTTTTGTCTAACATACCCTCCTATGTCAACAGCTTCCTGGAATGCCACCAAATAAATCTCGCTGATAAGATGATTCGTGATCCCTAAGTAATATAATCATATTCATAATCAGAAAGTTTTGCGCAGTAAAGTATTATTAGGTAAATTATTTGAGAAATGAATTCCGATTTCGTTGCACGCATTGTATTTAACTCATTCCTTGGTGCTCGAGCTAAATGAATATGTAGAATATTCTTAGCGCAATGTACGATTTTTGTCATTCGGATCACAATAAATATATCAAATTAGTAAGATTATCCAGGAAGACCTATTACTACCCAGCCTGTTCTCAAACTGGCGACGCGCAACATCAGTCATCAGAACATCAAGTGCCGCATCGCTCAGATGTTTAATTTGTCAATATCAGAGTGTAAGCCAGATGAAGTAATAGATGTTCAAAACATTACTGGACGTATGCATTTTTAATCCTCCAAAAGCCTGCTAGACCTTTTTTATGGTTTATATATGGCCTCCGATTAGTATATTTGAATTCTTAAAATTAATTACTACATTAATTCACAGTTTTTGATCAGACATTTTCTACCTACAGAACTGATTAACATTTTTTTTACTCGTAATAAACGACCAAAATCTGTGAAATTCAACGTTGTATAATAAAAAGCTCCAAGATTGATTTAATATACTGGAAATTCGACTTCTTGCAAGGGCTGTGGGATTTCGCGTTCCTAGGGGGATTGTTCCTGAGCGCCCCACCGCTGAGCTCGCGGTGTCTGACTGCAGGTCTCAGTTTTGGGGTTAAGTTATTATGTAGGTAGGATTCCTTAAATTTATCTTCTCTGTCTCTCTCGTGCGGGCGGCCGACGTCCCGTGTAAGCGACCTCTTGTTCGAGTGTCTTAGTTTCTGTTGCTTTTCACCTGTCCCTTCTTGTCACTTCATCTCTTTTGAGATGCTAACGCTGCTTCTTTCGAGCCAGCTTCAGCGGGCTGGACATTGAGACCTTCCGTCCTTTGTGGGTGATGAATAATTGAGACCTTCCACCTCTATGGTGATGTTCATCTTGACTTTCGGTGCGAGATAGCTTAATAGCTGAAGCGCTAGTAAACATTTGGCACCTGGTTTCCAAAACGTTTCTATTAGAATTGCTATTTACTTTCTGAAATTTACTTTGATATTGAATTATCAGTTATTTTGCAATTTGAGTCATTTTATTTTAATACCAGTTGCGTACAAACAACATCTAAATTTTGTTCAATCTTTGAAATGTTTAAAATAATAATGAGTTTGATACTTAGCGATTCTATATTTATTTTGGACTTGGAAGCGCTCGTGTTACAGTGATCCTGAATACTCATTCATATTACCACTTCATGGGACTTGCCTTTCAAGCCTGGAATTATCCTTGTTGCACCTCTTCGAATATTTTCTATTAAATTTTTGTCCTTTTCAAATCTCGGTGACCACACGACGTTTCCAAACTCTAGATTCGGGCGCACGACAGCAACAAACATCAGTCAGGCGTACTCTTCAGCGCCGACATCACTAAAGCCATCACTCGGACTGATGTGTTCAGTTAGAACAGACAGAATGGCTCCGCTTATCTAGTGCAAGCATGTATAGATGAATATTGAAGCATTATTTATTTGACTATCTTGTGCGTCGCCACGAGGAGTAGGAGATTGTGGGGGTTCAGTTTTAACCTTCCACGTTTAATTTGTTACAGCTCCATCTCAGAGAACGTTCATGGCGGGATTGAAATGATAATGTGGTCCATTAATGTTTATTATGATATAAGGAGCTCACAACGTCGGTATCCGCATTTATGTTTTGAATACGACAGATTAAAATTAGAAGAACAGGCGCGATAAAAAATTGGTTGGCTAAAATGAGCAGCCAACTTACCTTGAGTCAAGCGATATTCAGAGGTGGGCAGGAGCGCGCTACATGTAGCGGCCGCTTACATTTTCAGTAGCGGCAGCGGTAGCGGCGCTACATTTAAGCAATTGTAGCGGTAGCGCCCGCTACATTTAGAGCATGTAGCGGTAGCGGCCGCTACATTTCAAAGTAGCTAACGCTGCCCGGCTCTGGCGATATTAAGACGTGACCTGCTTGATGATGGCGGCCCCGGGACGAACAATGAGACCGGGGCACGTGGTGATGACGAGGTGTCAGGGGCACGTGGTGATGACGAGGTGTCAGGAGCACGTGGTGATGACGAGGTGTCAGGCGCACGTGGTGCGTTCAGTAGCTTGGAGTATACGAAGTGGCGAGACACACGAGACGTTGAGATGCACGTGGCGTTGAGAGATGCACGTGACGTAGAGATGCACGTGGCGTTCAGAGATGCACGTGGCGTTGAGAGATGCACGTGGCGTTGAGATGCACGTGGCGTTGAGATGCACGTGGCGTTCAAAGACACACGTGACGTTGAGATGCACGTGGCGTTCATAGACACACGTGACGTTGAGATGCACGTGGCGTTCAGAGACACACGTGACGTTGAGATGCACGTGGCGTTCAGAGACACACGTGACGTTGAGATGCACGTGGCGTTGAGATGCACGTGGCGTTCAAAGACACACGTGACGTTGAGATGCACGTGGCGTTCATAGACACACGTGACGTTGAGATGCACGTGGCGTTCAGAGACACACGTGACGTTGAGATGCACGTGGCGTTCAGAGATGCACGTGACGTTGAGATGCACGTGGCGTTCAGAGATGCACGTGGCGTTGAGAGATGCACGTGGACTTTCACGTGTTGTAGTAGTGATGTTACGGGGGCAGCAACCATGTGACTTGTGATGTGCTGTGCAGTGGAATTCGGTTAATATTGAACACACGATTTGAGTTGCACAAGTATGCAAGTTAGCACGAGAGCTTAAGGCTGGCATTCAATGACTGAAATTAAAATCCTGCACTTTCCCTAGATTGTGTGGAGCTGTTGGTAACGAGCTTCTCTCGAACCATTATGTATCTGCGGAAACTAACGTGTAAGATAGTAGCACGACTTGTCAATATGTATTTTGTCCTCGTCGGGCGTAGACCTTATAGCCTGTGTTTACTATCTGTGGTGTTCAGTGGTAACGCTTATACATGGTGCCCCGGTCTTGAACTGCTTCTGGAATGGCTCAGTATCGCGCTCCCGACCAGTTGAATTTTGATGAACCAAAATGGGATACGTGGGAGAGTTGCTTTATGACCTTCCGGAAAGTCATGAAGCTGGATAGCGATTATGACGAGATTCAGGTCGCTAGCCTGAAATACTGCATGGGTAAAGACTCGGAAGATGTCATGAAAACCTTCAGTCTGACAGTGGAAGAACAGAAGAATTTTTATACTGTACTTGGCAGGTTCGACGAATATTTTAAGCCTAAAGATTGAGGCGACATTTCCAGCGTAGAAATCAGTTAGCTGGCGAGTTCGAGGAGAACTATTTTAGAGCCCTTTTTGTGTTGGCGGAGGATTGTGAATTCGGAGCGGCAAAGAAGAGCGAATACGGGATCAGTTCGTCTCAGGTACAGCCGAGACGCCTGTCGGAGACCACCACTGCCGTGCTTCGAATGGACTATCATGATCCCTTCCCTGAAGAACGTAACCTACAACACTTCATGACTGAAACATTATCAGCCGCACGCCACCAGACAGATCACATCCATTGAATTAGACCAATCAGCCCACAGGAAAATAAGCCTGACGTCGTAAGGTCCAGCGTCGGCTGCCAATACACGAAAAATTATTACGCCACCCGGACGGAGCGCGCCGGAGCCGTCCGTATCTGTCCCGTGTGTCGAATCAGCCTACGGTCGAACGGCCACGCGTCGTACGACGATAAATTTTGGAACAGAAATATGCTATCTGAAACCCAACCCCAGATGCTGTGAGCTAAAAGTTACGTAATTAAGCGAAGCTTCGGAAGTCACTAGCCGACGGACGATAGATTTTGGAACAGAACTATGCCTTCTGAAACCTAACCCCGGATGTTGAACTAAAAGTGACGGTCTGGTGGTGCACGGCAGGATGCATGCAGTTCGATCGCCTGCTGAAGACCACAACTGCCCTGGATGTAATGGACCATCATGATTCCTGCCTTCCGGAACGTAGCCTTCAACACTTCGAGCCGTCCGTATCTAGGCCGTGGGTCGAACCAGCCCTCGGTCGAACGGCCAGTTGTCGAAGGACGATAAATTTTGGAACAGAACTATGAGCTGAATGATGACAAGTGAATGATACAGGGCTATCAGCTCTGTCGTTAGGACACTGCAATTGGGGCAGTCTGACAGTGGAAGAACAGAAGAATTTTGATACTGTACTTGGCAGGTTCGACGAGTATTTTAAGCCTAAAGTGAATATCATTAGATTGAGGCGACAGTTCCAGTGTAGAAATCAGTTAGCTGGCAAGTCCGAGGATAACTATTTAAGAGCCCTTATTGTGTTGGCGGAGGATTGTGAATTCGGAGCGGCAAAGAAGAGCGAATACGGGACCAGTTCGTCTCAGGTATAGCCGACGAGAAGCTGGCAGAAAAGCTAGAGCACCTTTATCTCTCTAATCGGGACAAATATGCACTAGATCTCGTCATTGAATATACGCGCTCGTATTGCGCCGTGAGAACCGGTCGACGCCTCGTGAAAGAAGATAAACTAGCAGAAGGTATTTTGCGGAAGCGCTTCAACCAGACAGGGACAACCTGAAATGTTCCTACTGCGGCTTCGTTCATGGAAAGGGTAAATGCAATGCGTATGGGAAGAAGTGCCACAACTGCGGTAAATTGAATCATTTCGCCAGAATGTGTCAGAACACGCGTACCACGACAACTTGCGGGATAGGTGAGCGCGGCAAAATTTGGAAGCCCAGAGGCAGAGTCCAGCATATCGCCGTCGTGGCGCAGGCTCGTGAAGACCGCAACGACGACACCTTCTTTTTAGGTGAATGCACAGTTAAGAGCATAGAAAAATGGTTTGTGGATCTCGGCCTGTTTACCGACTCTTCTTATAAGATAAGAGTAAATTTTAAAATAGACACAGGAGCCGACGTTAGTCATTTAGCCTATGACGATTTTCTAGAGCTCTGACCTAGACCTGTTTTAGCAGTGACACAAAAGAGATTACTTACTACTCCTAGCCGCGAATTGAAGGTTTCTGGGGTTTGTCAGTTTTATATTTTGCATAAGGGTGAAAATTTCCAGGAATCATTTTATTTGCTCCACCTGAAAATAGGACTAACAATATTTTGAACAGGGCAGCCTCTGTGGCGTTGGGATTAGTGAAGTTGTTAGCAGAAGTTCATGAGGATAGTTCAATGTTTGGGTTTGGCACCTGGTATACAACTCCGGTAAAATTCTACTTCAAGGAAAATTCAATGCCATATGCCGTGAAATCTGCTAGGAACATCTCCATTCCATTGCTGGCACCCGTTAAAGACGCCCTCAGCAATATGCTAAAAGAAGGTATAA